ATAAATAAACGTTGAAAAAAAAAAATTTAAAAAAAAAAAATAAACTGAACCAATAAAAACTACAAACTAGAGGGGTAAAAGGAGTTGAAATAGAACACTATTCACCTCTGAAACCAGTTTTGGAGTTGGTTTCTCCAGAGAGAATTTGTAAAATTTCTTTTTTTCAAAAATTTTTTTTTTCAACGTTTATTTATTTTTGGGACAGAGAGAGACAGAGCATGAACGGGGGAGGGGCAGAGAGAGAGGGAGACACAGAATCGGAAACAGGCTCCAGGCTCTGAGCCATCAGCCCAGAGCCCGACGCGGGGCTCGAACTCACGGACTGCGAGATCGTGACCTGGCTGAAGTCGGACGCCTAACCGACTGCGCCACCCAGGCGCCCCTGAGAATTTGTAAAATTCCTTACGCTAATCTGCATTAAATTTTCTATTTCAACTCCAATGTATAAACATATGTCCTATTTTTAAATCAATAGAGGTTACACTTAGCATAAAATAAGCCACAGGTTGTCCCCCAGATTTCTTAAGAATGCTTCTGTCAAGCCCACAATCAATAAGAGAAATGAGGCTCGGTGTTTTTGGTTTTGGTTTTGGTTTTGGTTTTGGTTTGGTTTCGGGAAAAGGGGGTAGAAGGAACGGAATCCAAATACCTTTATTTAATCATTGTGTATCTAGGGGCTCCCGGGTGGTTCAGTCAGTTAAGCGTCCGACTTCGGCTCAAGTCATGATCTCATGGGTCGTGGGTTTGAGCCCCGCATCGTGCTGACAGCTGAGAGCCTGGAGCCTGCTTCAGATTCTGTGTCTCCCTCTCTCTCTGCCCCTCCCCTTCTCATGTTCTGTCTCTGTCTCTCTCTCAAAAATAAACAAACATTAAAAAAAATGTGTATCTAGAATTATTAGTTTAGAACTGTAGACTTTTAAGTAGGGCAGATATCCTGAGAGCCAGCAGATAATGTCTATTTATTTTTGAGAGAGAGAGAGAGAGAGAGACGGAGCACGAGGCAGGGAGGGGCAGAGAGGGAATCACAGATTCCGAAGCAGGCTCCAGGCTCCGAGCTGCCAGCACAGAGCCCGACATAGGGCTGGAACTCAAGAACCGTGAGATCATGCCCTGAGCCGAAGTCAGGTGCTTAACCGACTGAGCCACCCAGGCTCCCCTCTACGTTTCTTTTTCAAACAAACACCAAGCAGAGTGAAATGTCTATTTACTTTTAAATTATTTTACTTATGATTTCTAGTTTATATAACATTTCTAAGGAATAGTATTGAAAAATTATTTCTAAGTCCAAATAGTATCAACTATCTACGTCATTATACTCAAATCCCAACTATTAGCAGCTAGACAAATCTGGAGAATGACTTGTTTACATCCTACACGATCTCAGCCGGAGAGCTGCCTGAGCAACTGGGTCAGAACTCAGTTCTGTTCTCCATTGTAGCAGGACCCCAAGAAGGAAAGGAAGAAAGTAACTTAACATTTTTCTTAAGCATCTGCTATGTGCCATTCATTTTCACCCTCATAATCCATTAGCTACTCACAAATACCCTGTGAGGTTGGTGTTTCATCTCCATTTCACAGATGAATAAACTGAGGCTCAGAGAAGTTCAATGACTTGCCCTGGGTCACACAGCCTAAAGCAGATCTGAGATTCAAACACGGGGCTTCTGATTCAATCCAACGCCCTGTCCCTAACAGCCTACTATAGCAGAAAGCCCCCAACAGAGAAACAGCGGTCTCTGAGCACCTCTCCTCTCCTCCAGCTGCCACATCCAGGCTTCAGCATAACCTAGTGCCGCCCTGTGTCCCGGCCACAAACCTTCCAGAAAACAAAGAGGCGCCCCAGCCCCACCTCCCAGGACAACATGGCCTGCTGTGGGGAATGTGCCTGGGCCCCAAATTATATATACTAGCGGCTCTTCGTTGTCCACACCAATACTGCCTCCCTCTAACAAAAATAATTGAGAGTTGATTATACTCAGGAGATAGTTCAAAATAAAGCCACCTTTCATGGGAGGAACCATTCCCTTAAAAGGAGTACCGTCCTTTACACAATTTAAAGGCAATAACAGGGAAGTGGTAGAGAATAAGAAGGCTGTTTGATCTCCTATGAGGGATTCTGTTCATCATAAGAGAGAACTTCTGAATGATGAAAAATAGGTAAGCCCAAGGATCAGTGGCTCAGAGATCTCCTGACGGCGAGTGAAGGTCTTTATCTCTGAGAAGACCCTTTCGTGTCTAACCAGAATATGGTTCACGCCAAGGCAGGAGGATGAGCTTGAAGACTGAGAATTTTTCACCTTTAGGGTTTTAAGACTTCCCGCACTCCCGTGGATCTGGATTTAGAAACGCGTGCCGGTATAACCTCCATCTGATGCATCCGAGCTACATCTAGGAGCATACTTGGTGCGCTGAGTACATAACTTACCTTCCAGGCTTGGGGCTCACTAAAGGATGGGCCTTCTTTGGCGGTTCTGGAGGGATAGTATCTAGCCCCTCGTGAAAATCTGTGTCTACAACTGAAACTTAAGCCAAGGTTATTTTCTTACTGTGCTTTCTTTTTCTCATGTTCTGGTGAAGAGCCATCTCCACAGACATCTGCCTCCGCACGTAAGTTCAGCTGTCTTTCATGGGTGCCCTCAGGATGCCGGTGGGTGGCTAGAGGAGAAGGAATTGGTCGGGAGAGATTAACCCCAAGAACTCAGGTCCTTCCAGTATCACATTTCCAACTCCCGTTTTGGAAATATTCCCAAAGGGACTTTTTTCTAGACTTTCCTTTACTTCCATCCTCCCCTTTTCTGTCTCTCTCTCTCTCTCTCTCTCTCTCTCCCAAAAATAAATAAACACTAAAAAAACTACAAAAAAAAAAAAAAGTTTGCCCAGTTCCCCTTTGCCTTCGGATTCCCTCCTTCACGCCCTGTAGCCAGCAGACTTCTCCTTTGACAAGAAAACCCAAGGCCTGGGTGACAAATGACCTTCTGCATCTGGTTGGTTCTTTGTGACTAATTTGCCTTTGCCAAAATCTTACTGGTTCCTCCCTCCGATTTCCCTTCTCTCCTCTCCCATTTCCCAGGGTACAAAGTCTCCATTTCTGGAACCACGGTGGTGCTGACATGCCCTGAGGATTTGGGAAGTGAATCAATAAAATGGGAAAAAAATGGTGGCCTCTTGCCCAATGAATATGGAGAACAGCTATTTCTGGATGATTTTTCAGAAATGGAAAACAGTGGTTATTATGCCTGCTATACAAGCAACTCACTAGAGAAGAACTATCTCTACCTGAAAGCAAGAGGTAATATGGGACCATTAGAAAGGACCACTTCAAGAGGGTGTTCTCAATTATTTCCCCTAACTCAGCTCACAGGCCCCTGGCATCTTTGTGTTTCTCTTACCCTCAATCTGAGACTCTTAGGGGCCACACAGTTTTCTGAAATCTAGATTAAACACCAATGTGGGATCATCTGGGTGAACCCAGCATTAGATCTGAAACAACAACTTCCCAAGAGACAAGATTGTATCGTTTGCATGTATTGAATCCAGAATTATGGCTCATAGATATGGGTTCAGCTGATGCTTTATCCAGAGATAAATTCTTCAGAAAGATTCGCAAAGCTGCTATAAAAAAGTGTCGGGGCACTTGGGTGGCTCAGTCAGTTAAGCGCCCGATTCTTGATTTCGGCTCATGGCATGATCACATGGTTTGTGAGATCGAGCCCCAAGTCAGGATCTGCACTGACAGCTCAGAGCCTGCTTGGGATTCCCTCTCTCTCTCTCTCTCTCTCTCTCTCCCTCTCTCTCTTTCTTGGCCCCTCCCCCACTCATGCTCCCTCTCTCTCTCTCTCTTTCTTAAAAATAAGTAAACACTTATAAATAAATACACGAATAATAAAGCGTCATAAACTAGGGCATAGTAATAACAGCTAACATTTTCTGAGCACTTGTTAAGTTCCAAGGGCTATATACCAAACACTTGCCAGGAACTTTTTTTTCATCTAACCCTCTCAACAACAATATGCGTTAAGTACTATTTTATTCCCATTTTATACAAAAGGAAACAGAGCCTTTGAGAGTTGAAAACACTTCTCACAATCCTCACAGCTAGTAAGTTGCGCGGAGCTGGGACTTGAACCCAGGACTGTCTGACTCCAAGGCCTCTATCCATAACTGTCCTCCTTTGCTTGTTGTTACAAACTTTGGAAGGTCCCGCTCCGGCCACGGCAAGCGTGAGAGTAAGAAAGGGAAAATCGCCTTTATGTGTTCCTTGCTGGGGTCTGCTGTTCTGTGTCTTCTTTTCCCGGTGATTTCTTTTCTTCTCCCCCTCCCCCTGTCCCCACAGTGTGTCAGAACTGCGTGGAGGTGAATACGATGGCAGTGGTCGCAATCGTCACGGCTGATGTCTGTATCACTCTGGGGTTGCTGCTGCTGGTATATTATTGGAGCAAGAATAAAAAGGCCAGTTCCGTGACCATGATGCGAGGACCAGGTGCAGGCGGCAGGCCCAGGGGTAAGACCGCGGGCTTCAGTCGGAAAAGAGTCCCACCAAAGGGAAAGTCCAGCCAGGGTGGCAAGTCCACAGCCAGGTCAAGACAGCTCCTATAGAACATTCACCGTGTGGCCAGCATCTGGACGGAGGGGTTCACATCTCAGATCACTTCTCTTTCCCGTCCTAGAAAAGTACAAAAAGTTTATTAACAGGATGGCTTCCCCAAATGCCTGAGTGTTCTGGAGTAACCAGATTCCCCTCCCAGTCTGTGGGGACAGAGACTCTGGGATACTGGTGCCCGCCTTCTCCTCTCCCTTACCCGTAGGAAAGGAAACATAA